CTGACGGTGAGTCAGGCTCGGCGATGCGGCAGCTGTAATTCGCTCTCTCTTTCCTTGTGGTTGTCGGAGGCCGCTGTGATAAAATATTGAGTTCTTCTAAGGTCACTGGGGGGAGGCGTGCATTTCTGACATTTGAACTGAAATAAACCTTTCATTTTTCAGTGACTTATGTACTTTTTTTATTTTTTTTTTTTGACAACATTCACGCTGCGGCAAAGCTTTGTGCTCCTTCCTCAACTCCATCATGTACTGGAGTGCTTAAACATCTTCAGGGTGAAAAAGCTGTTTTCCCCAAAGCACCATGGAAATACAGGAGGCATGCATAGCTGAGAATTGGCTCATTCAGTTGTTTTCTCAGAGCCTGTGGAGGCCGATGATCTATAATCTGATAAACTGGGGATTGCCTTTCTCTTAATTTGCAAGTAAAATGAGAAAGGCAATCAAAGTCGTGGAAAAGTGTGAGTTTATGGATTTAAAGTTACACAACTGTTGCTTTGGTCATTGATAACAGAAAACAATTTGCTAATTGGAGCAGCATGATGTGGCGAGTCAGGTCCCCCTCCGGACATCGGAATATAATGAGGTGCAGCGTGTCATTGCTTAGTTGTTGGTTTGGATTGAAATCATCCGTCTGATCTGAAATGAATAATGCAGCTTAGTTTCCTCTATGTATCCGCATTGTCATTTCTCTGCATTTTCTTTCCCTTTCCTTTCCTTCCCTCTCCGCCCCGACGTTATTCCCTCAGGGATTGCTAAGTTGTCACAGGCCTGTAAATGGCCCATTGATAACCTGGGTCATCTGAAAGGATGTCCTGTCATTTAGGCACAAATGCGTCCTCAGTGTGCATGGCATATGCTGGGATTGTTCCAAGGCAATTTGGAAGAACCCTGGGTGTTTAGAGGAAGCGGAGGAGCGCTACTGTTGTCGGACGCACAGAAAGTCCCTCATTATTTTATTGTAACTTTTATTAGTTTAACTCACAGTCACAAAAGCACTGTACAAACTTATCACTGAGTTAGACAATGACAGTAGGACACTGTCGTAAGACATAATCTGCAGCCGAGCTCAGTCATTGTACAGAGGATAGAGGAGGCTGTGAAGTGGACTGAGCCTCTACAGTCGATGCTGGAATGCTTCCAGGGATTGTGGGTTTGAAGGGCTTTCCACACTGAGGTTACGGTCACTCTGGTCTTCCTCCTCTCTTGGTGAAGGATGTAAGAGTAAACCACATTCTGGACGGCCGTAGTGTTTATGTACACAGCGCCGTGCCCTTGTGCTTTTGATGTACTTCAGTAGTATTTAGCAGCTAAATCGAAAAGCACTTTGTTTCAGAAATGACACAGATTCTCTTCAGCTTAGAAAGAGAATTTATTTGTTTCTTCCACTGACACATTGAGAAGTTATTGTGCAACTTGGCTGTCCCATGAAAGCAGTCCATTTTTACTTTTTCTAATCCGTTTTACTCCTTAGAGCTGGAACCATTAACCGACTAATTAATCAGATTGTAGATAAATTACATTAACATAGTTTTGTAGTGCCAATGACAACAAAACAGAGGGGGGGAAAAATCCAGCATCGTATCGCGGATCACAATAAGAAAATAAAAACAGAAAATGTTTCCCCAAAGTCCTGGCCCTTTCTACAGCACATTAACAAGAACAACATTTCCAAACGTAATACCAAGAGAACACAGAACAAATGCAAAAGGAAAATAAATATCTAAATGCATGCCGCATTGAACGAAATTTAGCCAACCACAAAAATAAGATGGAAGAGACGAGATTTTACACGACAGTCAAACGGAAAGCATACAATGTTGTGAAACTGAAAAACATACAGGGAAAAACTAGTACATGCACATATGAAGTCACACATGACTTGGATTTATCCAGCCAAATATTCCACATTCCCTTAAAAGGACAAATGATTACTGGAACACAACAAACAGTAGCAGACTGTGGCGGTTCATTCATTCATCACCCTGGGCGAGCTCCTCTTTCTATAAATCTAAGATACACAATCTTGGACCCAGAAAAAATAAACACAATATATTAATTGTAGTTTGAGAAAACTAAGGATCTGCTTTTCCAAGATTGACTTGAGGCCCAAATAACATAAAAGATTGTTTATGCAGCTTCATAAACATAATACATGCTCTATAAATCTTTAAAAAACTACAACTGTGACTTAATCTTGTAGGTTGGCGGTAAACTTTAGCGTCATTAACCAGTGATGGGCAAACTGCATTCCTCAAGGACTGGTGTCCTGCAACTTTTACAAGTCTCTCTGCTTCAGCACATCTGGCTCTAATATTAGCTTATTAGCAGAACTTGACTGAATGCTAGTAAGGCAGTTTCACCGTTTAATTTAAGTACAATTGACAACGAATACATCTAAAAGTCTTCCCTCGAGGAATGCAGTTCGAGACCACTGCTTTACATGCAGTTTAAACCTGGTGTGGACCCACCTGGTAAGATCTTCTCGATCCTTCTCCCACCATCATCTGCTGGGAAGCCAGCTGCTTTGGCTCCACTAAGCGGTATGGCACAGGCCGGTTAGGTTTGTACCACTATTTTGTCTGTTTCCACCGAACAGGTGACCTGTACAAACGACTCGACGTACAGCAACTTTCCTAGACCCCCTTTGGATTTAGGTCCCCAGTAGAGGTACTGGTGTCACACAGCACAGTCCATCCACTGTAAAGAAAGAAAAGTGTCACTTGCTTACTATTATACTAGTGCATAACATTTGATGTCACACTAGTATGACAACATTTTGGCATCTGATTTCTCTGCAGTATTGGCAAAACTGTCATTACTGAAACAGCTTTCTCCATTGGCATTCCCTTGAAAATGTGAACATTTACCTCTAAGAAATGCCAACATTTTCAACTTAAGCATGTTCTCAATCTTCAAGCAAAAGTTAGAAATTGTAAAACACCAATTCTGTGAAACTTAGACATTGGTAGACATCTCTTAAGTTGTAGACATTTCACTTTCAATTTACACTCTGTTCTGATACAGAACCTAACTAACTGTGATTCACTTTATGTCAGTAACAACCTCCACATATGAGAGTAGCGAAGGGGTGGGCCATCCCATGCCTCAAGAGCTGGTGTCTTGCAGCTTTTAGGTTCAACACACCTCAAACTGCAGGACATCGGCCCTCCAGGACCAGTGTTGTCCAGTGTTGCTGTTACATATTAGCTCTTAGATTTTGTGTAGACAATGACTGGAAAGCTGAAAATGTTTCAATTTTGGTCACCAACCAATTTTTTGTGTGCATCCCTTACACCAGCCATATTATAAACCGGCACTGGTAGCAATGATAGGTTTATATGGTCTTTAAGTGTTAAAACATAGTTTAGTCTTTTTAGTTCAGAGATCGGTTTGGAGATCAGGGAATCTGTGTACTGTCAATCGGACACCTGGTGTTTACCTCTGGATTGGCTTAAAGCATGTGGATCTGGTGGAATGTCACGTTCTGCATCTGTGTTATGGAACGGGATTACCTTCAGTGCAGCTCACATTTTCCCAGTCATCTTTATTTTCACATCTTTTTTTCTTTCTTTCCACTCCTTTGCCTTGCACATGTGCTTATGTGCTGATTTTACTCTTTCCTTTTCACACGGCTTTCTACTTTTCCCAATTCCATGCCTCTCCACAGCTCCCCCCCCCTCCCTCCCCCCCATCCGAGCCTCCAGTCGCGCGCACGCGCCGCACAAACACGCACGGCATATTCAGGCAAAGACTCACCCTGTGTCGTGCAAGCTGTTAGTCCTGTCTCTCATTTATCTCCCTCCCTTTTCCTTTCCTTCCCTCCTGCCTCCCACCCCCCCTTCCCCAGAATGTTTGGATAGATCTAAATGGTGTGATTGTGACTGCTCTGCCGGTCGTCTGCCTCTGAGCGTCTTTGGAAAGTCTGACGTGAAGGGAAAAGGCAGAGGCAGAGAGAAAAAGGGAAAGGTTCTTCTGAACAACAAGGCATGGCGGCCCTCCAGAGAGTCAAATCCAGAGAGTCAAATCCAGCGTCATAAGTCTTCTCTCCATCCCTTTTCTCTTTATTCCTCTCATTCTCCCACACTCTCTTTTTAGGGCACCTATTCCCTGTCGAGCGTCCCATCTTCAGCGTGTTGTCTACAGTTTCTCTGTCCTTCTTTCTTTCTCTTCCTCTTAACCTCTAGTGGTCTGGTGGAGGCTGAATGAAGGGAGGGGGGCTTGCCACCGCACAGGAGAGACAAAACCTCTAGATCTAGGACTCTCTTTTACCCAGGGAGGTGTCCTGTTGCGTTTTAGGCTCTTCGCCGTGGTTTCACATGTCGTGGCATTCAAAGAGCCCAGGTTAAAGAATGTGGGTCATTTGAAGTAGAAGCACTAAAGTGTGTTGTTTGCCAGTGAATGGGGCCTTCTCACGTTGACATGGTGAAAAGCGTGTGAATAAACACCAGCGCCTGGGGGGCATGCTAAAGTGTTTGGCTATATTCTTCTCTGTACCCCACCTATACAGGCCTGTTATTATCCAACACATGAATGGATCTCTGGGATTCACATTGGATATGAGCACCGGGCCGCTGGTAACCAAGGTACCTTATCAAACTCTCGACAATAGAAGAAGTAGCTTCTGTCCTTTTGAACCTCGAGATGGCGGAGTAATTAAATTTGGCCCGCATGCTGCCCCGCATGTAATTTAGTTGGTGTATGTTTCCTCATCCTGTGCTCACGAGATTATGTTGCTCCTAGTTGTGACCAGCTGCGTGGCTTCCTTAATTGCTTTCCCACAGCAGATGTTCAGATCAGATGGTTTGCATTAAGTCATAGATTGCTCACACAAGGTTTCCTATGAAGATACGCTCTCGTCTTTTGCTGCCCCTTCGTCTGATGAGTTTAAGTGGGTGAGTCTGCGTCGTGTGGAATCACAAAAAAGTAAATCAAAGCTCATGCCTTTCTCTTCTCTCCCCCCCTCCCCCCTCTTTGTTGTCTCCCTGACCTTGATGATGCAGGTGGTCGTGGCAGCGCTGATTGTTTGCCACGCGGCAGAACCCCCGGCCCCTCAGAGGTCCGGAGAGGAGTACAGAAACCTCACTCTGAGAAACCAACTCAGGACGTGTGTGGAGAATGAGCAGTACCTCCACCAAGGGCTCTGCTGCCTGAACTGCAAGCAGGGTAAGAAGGAGAAAAACTCTAAATACTCTAAGAGGAACTACTTACCGCCCCATTAAAAAAAACACACAGCAAAGAACAATGCTCCACGTTCTCTAATCTAATCTCCAGCTTAACTTCCTGAGCAACACTGTAAAGTGTTAGGAGTCTAAAATTACAAATTCACTCAGACTTTTGGAAAGATTTTAAACTCATCTCTGCTGCTGCATAGGAAACAAAATTTGTTCTTAACATGATTTTCCATTAGCAGGTTGTCATTTCCTTTTTTGTCGTTTTTAAACTCAAAAGGAAGAGCCTCTTAATAAACATTGTTACCTGGATTTGACTGGCTTCCTTAAAAAGTAGTGTCATTATTTTGTTGACTTGTTACAAACTAAACGTAGGTCACCTGAAGCATCAATATTTTGTCTTTTTTTCCAATACAGAATGCAAAATGTGTCTTGCAGCTTACATGGCAGTAATTTTTTTTTTTTTTTTTGTTATTTCAGAACCTATTTTAACATTCACACATGTAGGGAAACAGTCTATTAATTAAAATGTAAATTCAGCATATTTGTTCAATTTCAGGCAATGTTTTGCTAATTAATCAACTAGAGATTTGTTACATTTTCATGGATTGAGACTGATAAGGAATTGGTTGTTCAAATATCTGAAATCTGTTTTTTTCCCCCTTATTTATTAATAGCGTCACATATAAAAAGCTCCCACCCCCATTTTCAGTCTATTAATGTATTAACAAACAGTATTTATTCTGATGCCCCTTTTTGGAGTTGGAAAAAAATCAAATAAATGGGGATAATTGTATCTTCCAGTGTTGCTTAAATCCAAAACCTTACTTATGTACATTTTTAAACGCGTCTTTTTTTTTTTTTTTTTTTTTTTGTGGTGTAATCCTAAGCCATAAAATTGCATTTGGTTGAACTTGGAATCAGTGAGTCAGAACTCTGGAAACTGGTGTGGCCAGGAAAATCCTGATTGTTGAATCTCTAGGATTAAAAAGAGATTCCTCAACGTCACCAATAGCAATAAAACAGATGAAGGAAGACTGTTAAAAATATAAGTCTAAGAAAATCAACATTCATTAATAGATATTTAATTCTTTCAACTGAGCGATGTGGATAATCAGAAACACTGGCACAACAAGAGGAACACAACGGTAAATTAATGTATTTTATATTCTAAAACTAACAAGATACATCAAAATTAAAGTAAAAAAAAGTGATGCAAAACTTAAAGAATTTGAAGTAAATAAAAATTAAATACAAACACAATCAAATAATGACATAAATAAAGCTACAACAACTGAAAAACAGAATTATGATACTTATGGAAAATTAAATGAATATATTCTGAAACTTTGTCTCCTTTGTACACCTGAGAATAAAAAGCAAAATTATAAAATGTGTCAATTTTTTCCCCTTGATGTTATTCTTTTCCAGCCATCCTCAGATATTCAGGAACCAGAACCACCGTAGTCAGACTAGAAGGAAACGTTGTTCCAAACGTTTAGGGATTCTTACATATTTTTCAGACAACTGTTTCCCCCTCTGTGTTTTACAGACTATTTACAACTAGATGCTATAAATAAATATAGTTTAGTGTCCGCTTCGTGTATTCTGAACTTTAAGGGCTATAAATTACGTTATATTCCTCCTCCTCCAAACTCCGAAAAGTTTGGAAATGTTGTCCTCACCGCTCCGTCTGGAAATAAGGCATGACGGCCAGGAGCAGAAAGGCCGTCGCTCCGTCTGAGCTCAAGTACAAAATAAGTGGAAACTCCAGGGCTTGAAGTCAGAGTTGTTTTTGAAGGTCCAAGTCATTAAAAGCACCAACCTTTTTAATTAATTACGTACATAATGTGATAAACCATTTAACTTGTCCTGGGCCCGAAATATATTTAGCCAGAAAGCAATTACTGTATTCTACTGGTGGCTTATTGAGTTATTTCATTTGCGATTCTCAATTCTGGGGAAAAAAAACAATGTTTTTTGTCTGTTATTGAGTTCATTTTTAATGTCGGTTTGTTTTCTTCTTCCTCTGGCTCTTCCAACGGCAACCTTCATCAATCACCTTGTAATTTATGCAATTACATGCATTTGATTGCTGAAAACTAAATCCTGGTGGACAGCTGATTTATTTCTGTGGGCCTCCATCGTTTGTTGACAGCAGCTGCAACGCTTCACTCCTGCTTGTTTTCCCACTTGTTAATTAGTTCTTGTTAATTAGCTCCTATTAATTAATGGAGGAGAGATTAGTTTTTCCAGTAACAATTTATCTTTAAGTAACTGTGACAGTCAATCTGTCTCCAAGTAAAAACAAAAAGAAAAACATTTCTAACTGAAGATGTCTGTGCTCCGTGTTGCATCTTCCCCCTGTGCCCCAGTCTTTTTTGTTTTTTTTCTTTTTCCCCCTCCCATTTGTACATCAGATAAATCCTGAAAACACATGAGAATCAAGTGGTTTTATTCATGGCATGCTTGAGCTGATCATAGAGATAAGTATGATAATCCAGCAGAGCGAAGTAGGTCAGATCACTTTGTAGTTCGCTCAATCGCTCCCTCTTTTAGCGCTTGTGACACAAACACTTCCTGAACATAAAAAAAAAAGAGAAGAAGAAGGCGGCATGTATAACATAGAAACTTCTGTTCTGTTTAGCTTCGCTTTACCTTAGGGTTGTCTCTGGAATATATTGCTGCGGTGTGACCTGTTTCAACAGGAAGCGCATCTGCATAATGGAGCTGTTATTCACAGGACAAGACATTTAATTAAGTTATATTTGTGGTGTGATGAGTTGTGGTCTGATTGTTTTCTTATTTCATTTGCAGGAACGTTTGTGCAGAAGCCCTGTGAAGCTGATCTGGAGGAAGGAACCTGCGTGTCCTGTGAACACGGGCAGACGTACACCGAGCATCCAAATGGGATGAGTCGCTGTCTGCCCTGTACACACTGTCGCCCAGGTAACCAAGTTCTCCGTTTCTTTACCAATGTATCATTGATTATTAATCGGTCAGTGGAATATAACTTTTTATTTACCAAGGATTAAAATGTGTATCTTCAAATTAGTCAAAGGAGGAAAAAGTCAGATTAATTGGTCATAATTATTTTTTTAAATTGGTCATAGTTCTAAGCTTTGTAGCTAGCTGATGTTGCTAACTTAGCAGAAAAAAACCTGTCAGGACTAATTTTAGCAAACAGCAGTCAAAATATTTTTTTCAGTCTCCTTGCCATGATGCAATCAGTCCATAATTTATAGCACAATTGGCCGGTGTCAGTATCTGTTCGTTAAGTAAAACTGGGTCAATAATAACCATTGTTTATTTCCATATTATTGTCTTATGTGTATTTGCATTGGGAGAGGAGGGTGTTTCATTTGTTGGGTGATATGACAGCGATGCAGTGCAGAATTGTAGGGTGATTAACTTAAGCAGTTAAGTTAAACTTTTTATGGTCTTAAAGGAGTAAGGACATGTATACAATATAAATAATATTGGTTATCAGCAATAACGGCAATATTAATATCGGATATTGATATTGACCCGAGTTTTCAAATCAGTGCATTTTTTTACAATTCATATCAGGAAGAGAAGCAACAAGGGTCACAAAGGAGAACATGGATAACAGTTTTGTTATGTAAAAACATTGACAAAATGTTTGATTAGGATCTTGGATTAGCTGTTAGCATGTTTAGCATCTCTAATTGTATGCAGCTCTCTTTGTGCTAATCCCCTAAAGGCTACCAACATTTATAAATCAAAAATGTTTTCAGACACTAATGGATAAACCAGACTAGCATCTTCCCCTCAATGAAAATCTGACATGATAATCTGCAAAATACTTTCCACTCTAAAATGCTTTGTCAACTTTTGCCAGAAAGGAATATTGTCTAAAAAAACTAAACAGAATTTTTTAACTGTGCATAGATTTGCTTCAGGTCATCAGATGATTTCTTTAAACATCTAAATTATTTCGTTGGATTTTCTTATCTTATTTAAATTTCCATTCAGGCACTAAATAAGACTAAGCATTGTTTTTTTTTGTTTTTTTTTTTTTTTGTTTGTTTGTTTGTTTTTTTACCATATTTCCCTTTTTCTGTGAGCAACTATCTCCAGAATCCCAGTGTGCCTTAAAACGTGGCGGGGAAACAAAAAATAAATAAATAAAAGAACTGACACCTATCTGAATCTCCCCTCCATTTAATCCTTTGCCTTTTTTTAGAAAAAAAAAAAAAATCAGATAACCACAGAGTGTTCTAAAGATCCTGCTTGTCAAAGATGTATTGTTTTAGGAAAGCTGATAGCTCTTTGTCTGTGGCCTGCGCCTTTCACGTCCACAGCTGAAAATGGGATCTTATGATGTTACACAGGGCAGCAGGGCGTGTCTTTGTTGTTTTTGTTTCCCGGCCTGAATGCGAGCGTGTTACTTGTCTCGGGAAGGTTTTGCCTGTGTGTCCGTCTTACCTGGCTGAACTGGGTGTGGCTGCGCGTCATTGTCCACCCCCATACTGGGCGTCTTTGTGTCCGATGAAAGGCAGCAGCCACAGAAAAGAGAATACTGTTACATAGGTTGTGTTTTGTTCTCACTTATTTTACTTTTAAGGTTAAGTATTGGGGTTTGTTTTGTTTTTCACCCCAGATCTTTTTAATGCCTTTCATAATCTTGTGACACTAAAAAAAACCCAAAAAAGTAAAGTTTAAACTTTTAAGTCCCGCATTGCTTTGTGGAGTGCTTGCACTTATTCTGAACCACGCTGCGATGTGAAACACTTAAGAACTTCCTGTTGGGAGCTGCTGTTGATTTAATGAATCATTTATGGTGTCACATGAATGAACTTTGCTTTAGTGTATTTTGTAGTTAGTGCCAGTCCATCAAACCATGTAATATTTCAGACCTCAGTTGAAATCGGTCAATTAAAATAATAATAAAAAACAGGAGAAAAGTTGCTTTTGGTGCATCAACCTGATTCTATAAGACAGACTCGCGCGGCTTAGCGTTCGTGACGGTTTAATGTAACTGGACTCCTTAGTCGGTGACTGCGCTGCAACTTCAGCTTTGCGTTTTATTTATTGATTTTTACCAAGCTGGTAATCATGTTTTTAGCTCATGAGCTCGTTTGTTGTATTTAAGCATCACATCACCAAGCTGACGTCCATCAATCTGTCTCCTCCATGACACATTTCTATTGGAAAAACTCCAGCCTGTGTGGTTCAGGGAAGGAAACAAAGCACTGAGTGTAAAGGTCCTCCGCTGGTTTTAAACAACAAAACAATAGAGCACAACGAAACCTGAATTATAGCTTGATCACATTAGGGAGAAGGCAAACAGTTATGACTAAATTCACAAACAATGTCGGGGCTGGAGCTGTGAATTTCAGCTGACCTCACTGTTCCATCTGATTGTGACTCCTTAGCTCAGTACGTCTGTGTGTTCATTCCTCTAAACACACACACGCACACACACCCCTGGTACTCTTCCACTCGTCGTAAAGTTAAAATCACAAACTTCATAGAGTTTTCTTTTTATTATTATTACTTTTATTTTATTTTATTTTTTTATGTGATGGACCTCGGGTTTCTGAAATCAGGGGTCATGACGCACCGCTCCAGACTTTTAGTGGAACAAGTTTACTTTCCCAAAAAAAGCATGACTTTAAAAGCAGCAATGGCCGCCGTCCTCCTCGTTTCCACACCAAGAACTCGGCTGTCCCGTCGTTAAGGAGCGAGCGGAGAGTGACTCCGGTCCAAACGCTGGCAATACCGGAACGTTCTCTGGCATTTTATGAAAAAGGGCTTCAAACCGTAGAAATGTTGTCAGAAAACTTAAATGGATTAGAAAACCATATTCCTCCTCCAATGTTGTTTTGTGGCTAAGGACTACTTTGACAACTGGAATAAATTGAGAATATTTAACGTAATATTTTTACAGGAAAATTCCCCCTCTTTACTGTCATACCCCTAAATAAATCTCAGTTATTTTCAAAGGTCACCTGAGCGTAGTTTAATTCTAGTTGCACTGTTTTTGGTATCACAAACTGTGGAAAACGTTTATGGAATATGAATATACAAGTTTCCTTCTGATACAAATTGCTTGAGAAATCCATATTGGAACAGCTACAAATGTGTTTGTATAGTATATTTATTTTGTGCTCAAACATCCACACACATTCATAGATGATATGCAAATCTGTAGACAACCTGGGATTCAGTGCCCTGCCCAGAGGCACATCAAACCCACAAGTTTTGGTTTGCAAAACGGCGACTCTACCCACAGTCACAGTCGGAATCGACCAAAAGTTTTTACAAAATAACATCCATAAATTAAATTGTACCTGAGATTTTTTTTATTTTTTTACAGTGCTGAAAAACAGCAAAATAAGTACACAGTGCAAAATGGTTCAGTTCTGAAAACTCACAAAATTGGTTCCTAATAATAATGGTGGGGTTTTTTTTTTCTATGACCTATCATCTTTTTTTTTTTAGCTTGCTTCTGTGCTGTGCCAAAGTAATTAGTCAGTCCAAGTTGTTTTTGCAACTTTCTGTTTTTTTGTTGTAATTTTTTCCACTGTATCAGTCAGTATAAGCAAAGCATTAAAAAAAACAATGAATCCGTATGAAGAAACATTTTTCGGTGGTGTATTAAGACTAATTTCCACACCAACACGTTTTTCTTTCTTTTTTTTAACGTCACTTTGACGTAGCTTACCAGTAGAGCGTTTTCTTTTTACAGACCAGAAGGAATCATAAATTGACAGTCTGCTGCTTTTTTTTTTTTTATTAAGAAATGTTTGCAATGCATTTCATTACCATGAAGCCACAAAAACTGTTAGCATTCCTGTTTTGTTTGTTTTTTTTTCCATGTTTAATCAGTTTTTGTTTTCCAAAAGTTTGTGGCTCCCACAATTTATCAGATGCTGGAGGGCTTAAGTGCCTCAGCACTTAATAGCCATGCAGTAAATGACATTTTCCCCGCAGTCCTTTAAGGCCTATATGCCTTGAGAAATGCAGTGGAACAAAACCGGCGACTGTTCTGCTTTGGTGCAGAGTAATTTCATTTTTATTATTATACATTACCCAAACGATAACAGTGAAAGACATTGGCTATCCCATGAGCGGCGGTTTTGGAGTGAGTCACAAAACAGTGGTTGTGTTCTCTGCGTGACCGTAAGGAGTCTGTGTTTCACTCTGACAAGAACACGCTCAAAAACAACATGTTTACTGTTCAACAATTTGCTTCTGCGGCTGTTCAGGTGAAACGGACCGTATTCTGTCTTTTTAAAGCCAACATGCTCTTGCAGCTGGAATATTGGCAAGCTAGTTAGTGTAATCACAAGCCTGATTGCTAACGGCAGGACAAAAGGCCAGATATTAGAGAAATAGTGTTGAGGAACGAGAAAAAACTGACAAAAAGGCCGTGTTTTAACTTTGTTTCAATTAATAATGAGAGAAAATTCCTGTAAAGGTATGGAAAGATTACAGATTTCACACACTGCTCTGGCATAGATTTTTTTTTTAATTTGCAGGCACGGCCGTCTTATTTACTGAAGCTGGGGGTTAATAGAGGTGAACTTTTTTTTTATTATTGTTTCCAGAATTTTCACGTAACCCGTTTAAAAAAGCTGCAGCTGCTGTCGTTTATGTTCCCAAAGTCACAAAGTTTCTCATACTCCTGCTAAAGTGAGCAGAAAGAAGGAAACCTAATTGTCACGCTTATCCGTTTATGGAAAAAGTCACAGCACGGTTACAAACTGGCTATAAATTAGCTAAAAAAGAAAAAAAAATGTGCTCAGAAAATCCAACAAAGGTTTCTCTGTTACTCTTTTCTCATTGAATCCTGAACATGCATCAACAGGTTAGACATAGTTGACTAAAGCAGAGGTCACACACACTCACATGACCAATTTGATTTGGAGTTGGAGGTTTTAAAATTTTTTCACAACGTTTTACCATTTTTTTCCCTACAGACGAAAGAGTAATCACTCCCTGCACAATCACAGCGGACACCAAGTGCCAGTGCAAGCCCGGCACCTTCTGCGTTCCTGACCAGGCCTGTGAGGTCTGCAAACGCTGTGCCAAGTGAGTGCTGCTCAAACATTTACAGCTTTGTCACTTTTTAGCCCTTCATGTATAGATTACAGTACCTTGTAAAGTATTTGTACGTATTGAACTTTTCCACTTTTTGTCACTTTACAAGCACAAACGTTTTTGTTTTTCTTTGGGATTTTATGCGTTCAAAGAACCTGAAGTAGTTCCTAAATGGCTTTGTAAAAAAAAAAAAAAAAAAAAAAACTAAACTTGCTGCTGTGCTTTTTATAATCACCCCCCTGTGATAAGAGACCCCTAAATGAAATCACATATAGCGACACTTGATTAGTAAATGGGTGCCATGTGGCTCAAGATGAAATCTGAGCCCGAAAGAGAGATTGCAAAACCAGCTCCACATCACCGTGACAACACAATCTCCACCACAGTAGTACATGGTGGTGGCAGTATCATGCTGTGGAGGTTATTTTAATAAACAGAGAGTATGGAGCTGATCATGTGCTCAGAAACCAGACACCTATTACATGAGTTTAAGATGCTTTTTATAAAATTGGCTAAAAGTCTGACGATAAAATCCATGGCAACCAATTCACTTCAGAAGCCACCTAATAACTCCACCTGGAAGTTAATATCTGTGTAGGATTAACAGTTTTTCAAGACTATTTGTGAAAAAACAAATGCGTATTAGAAGAGTGAAGAATACACACAAATATAATTACAGAGTGGATAATATTCAAGACTGCTAATTAGATTAGTGACGGGTCACCTTCAGAAGTATCAGAGAATAATTTATCTTGATGTGATTCTCATTGCATTTGCTCCACTTCTACTACATTACAGGTGCAAAGCCGGTGAGGAGGAGGTGAAGAGCTGCACGCCCTTTTCCAATACGGTGTGCCGAAAACGAGACCCGTCCCCAACCGAGACGGTAACGCCTCGGTCTCCTCCGGTTCCCGACCCGCCGACAAACACCTGTAAGTTTCACACATCCTGTGTTGGAACGTTAATCGCCGCCCAGACGGGAATTTGTCTCATCCGAAACGATCTCTTCCAGGGTTTCTTGTATTAATGGTCTTGATCTGCATCATGGTCATCGTCATTTTCGCCGTTATTTTTTGGTTCCTGCGGAAACAGCACTCGTGCGACGTAACATGTAAGTCTGTGCTGCATTTTATAGCCCAACAACATTTAGCTAATTTTTTTTTCTAACACGATTTTCTTGCTTTCAACAGGGTTAAAAAGCTCTTGTGAATCGAGTGAAATCGTAAAGATTCCCATTGTAAGTTCCATCCGATCTTACTTTTTTTTTTTTATGTACGTCCAGATAACATTAAATAAAACCAACATTCACCTAAATTTTTTATTTTATTTTATTTTTTTCCCTTCCTTCTCGGTTAGGATGAGAGTGGAGCCACTGCGGAGGAGAAGCAGAACAACCAGAACGCGGGCCTGGAGGGACAGGAGCCCCGCCCGGAGTCGCGGCCCCTGCTGCAGGAGACGCAACCCGTGATGACCAAGGCCTGCCCGCCTCTGGAGGACGAGGACCGCGGACTGGGCGACAGTTTGCCCAACACCACCAGCTCGTCTCAGACCAGCCTGTCGGCGCTGCCCACCGCCGCCTCCCCTGGCAGCACCCCGCACCACAGCCCCGCCGGCTTCAGGCAGCTGCCTGCAGACACGGTGAGAGCAGCAGAATCAAACATCTTTCTCTTATTTAATGCAAATCAGCAGGCGTCACGTGACAACCCAAAACCTCAAAGTACTTTATTGGGATTTTGTGCAACAGACCATCACAGTGTAGTGCATTATTTGTGAAGCAGACCGAAAAGGATGCATTTAAACGTTTTTGTACAAATGAACCTGTCTGGCAGGAGTTTGTGTTCAGCCAGTCATACTTGGGGATGCACAGATCAACTTTTTCTGCACTTCCGGCACCGATACCTGAGATTTACTGCTGGCTGATGCAGAAACACAGTGTAAAAATAGTTGACTTAAAATATATATATTTTTTCCTGAACACAGACATAAATGTACAGAATTACACATTTATTTGATAACTCTGCTCCAGCACATAACCAACAGCTTCACAAGCTTGGTGAAACGTAAAAACAACGTGAATTTGTTCAGCCAGTGCAGTTAGCAGTGTAACGGCCAATGTAAAGTAAATAACAAAGAAACTGAAACTGACAAGAAAGGTTGACTGTCTTGGTCAAACATGTAAAAACTCGACTGCAACAAACCTTTCAAATGGTTCAGAAAGAGCAATTAGGAATCTTAAATATAATGTAAAATAAATAATGAAGCACGATGTCGCTCAGAGGAAAAAGCATAGAATCAGACTGACTAGATCTGCAGTTTTGTATCAAACACATTGTCACCAATATCCAATCTAGATTTTTTTTTTTATTTAAATATCGGGACCGATACAGATATTGATATTGGATCGGTGCATCTCTCTCTCTTGCTATAAATAAAATCCAGCACAATCCAGTTTTCTTTAAAAGCTACACAATCAGTATATTTAGTTCATCTGGCTGTAATTTCTCCTCTGTAAATCCAGCTACTCTGTTAGGGCCTCAGAGGTTTGGTGGAGAACATTAGTGAACAAAAGGCGAGCAGGTCAGGGACTCAGTGCTGGGGACATTTAAAGCAGGTTCGGGTTGTGAAACAGTGTCCCAAGTTTGGAACATTTTCAGTCCACAAAGATGTGGAGAAAACTCCCAAACTGACTCATCGGACGTGGAGAGAATTAGTCTTTTCTTTTAGTTAGATGTATCAAAGTTGTCACGGCCTTCTGAGCTCCAAAGCCTAAAATTATTCCAAGAAAATGGCGTGGGTGGCAACAGGTGGCTTGTTTCTGGAATGCACTGTCAACCTGGTTGTTTGAAAAATAAATGCCATGATGTTTCTAGAAAATCAAAAACAAAATACTAACTAAAAATTTCTTACAACATGGGTGAAAATGAAACTTAATGTGACCTGTACAGGTTTAAAAAGTGGTTAAAAAATATCATTTTAAAAACCTACAAACTTTTGGTAAACATCTCCACCCTACCTCCCCCTCGCCCCCCCCAAAAAAAATTAACGGGAGGGTCTAAAAGTTACCAAATCCAAAAATATGAGTCACAGATTTTGGTTCCGAACTAACTTAAATATGTTCCAAATTGATAGAAAAAAACACAAAATTGATAGAAGTTATGATTTACAAAACTGAAACATTAACAGCCACAGCAAACGTAGAGGAACCAAAAGAAATGGACGCCTCATTTTGTAATTTTGTACAACGTATTCCGCTTCTGTGTTGTTCTACTTTACATTAAATCAATCTTTAAAAAAAATAAACAACAATATGCTTGGAAGTTTGTGATTGTAAAGTAGCAAAATGCTAAAAAATAAAAATAAATAAATAAAAAAAACCCTTTAAACACTTTTGCATTCTATGTTTTCTCCACTTCTTTTCTTATAACATTCTTCTTTTTCATCTTTCTACAGGATGACCCTCTTGGACATCGATTGCTGCCACTGCTTGGTAAGACGGATCTCCATTGTTTCCTGTTGTTTTGCACCAACACAAAAAAAAACAGCGCAGCACAGCAACCTATGCCAGATCGCGGAGAAGTCAAGAAAGCCGACATCTCCGCAAGATCTCCCACTTTAGTGCTTGATAGACTGCTGATCTCATGATAGTCAGGCCTGATCTGAGCCTGCAGGGCTTTTGAAACATTCAGCTTTTTTTTCTTTCTTTCTGCTGCCGTTTCTCCTACTGAATTGAAGAGGACATATCTTAGAGTTTGATCTTGCATTGATTGTTTTAAATTGACATCCTTCAAAGGGAAATGCATTTAACTACTCTGCCTGTATGTAGCAGACAAGAGAGTTAACTTATGATGTGGATATGGAGAATTTCACTTCTAATAATACCAAGCTATTGTAAGTGAGCACGAAATGCTGTTCTGGTGTCGCATTCAGTTATAATGGAAACCATTTGCCCACTTAAAGATTTATTTATTTAGTTTTATTTGTCATGTTTCAGGTCATTAACCACATTTTAATGTCACACAAACCACAGTGTTCTGCCGCAGTGTTGACTAGTGTTTGTTTTGCTCTGATTGCGTAGGGTCGGAGAAGTCCCTGAGGAAGAGCTTCGACTTGTTCGACGAATACCTGGACGTGCGGATCCACAACAAGTTCTTCCGACTGATCGGCATCAGCGACAACCACATTCGGATCGCCGAGAGCGGCGCCCCTGGCGACAAGGTGTACGAACTGCTGAAGAACTGGATGCAGAGGCAGGGGCTGAAGGCCGACATCAACGACCTGCTGAAGGCGCTGCTGAGCATGGACCAGCGGCGCTCGGCCGAGTGCATCGCCCACGCCGCCTTGAGGCGAGGCTACTACAAGCACGCCGACACCCCCTGAAGCTAACGACGCGAACGCCAACGCTACTCGCCACCGGAACAAACTACAGCCGCCGTCGGTAGAACGCCGTGCCTCACAGAACAAGGCTTACCTCCTTTTTTTGTGGCTGTCCAGCCATGCTTTAAAAAGCCAGTAGTTTTTCTTTTAAAAACAAACAAAAAAAAAAAACGACAACAAAAAAACCCAAAAACAACGCATAAAAAAAGGGGAAAGTCAAGACACACCGATCAGTTGTTGACTACTCGCCAAATGCTGAAGCAAACAAAAAAACAAAAACGTTCAAATATGCTTTCGATGAAAGCCCGAAAGGCTTCAACTGTTGCGTTCTGACACATTTGGATGTTCTCGGCTGTCGGTGAAGAGGCCAGACACTGAAAGCACAGAAGTCTCCAGCCGTGTCCCACCCAAGTCACGAGACACTACCGGCCGGAGAACAGGGGGCGGGGGGAGACGAGGATAATATACACTGGTTTGTAGGAGCGGCATGGCATGTGCTGCTAATACCGTGCCTGTTCGATGCACTGATACCTGGTGGCACATGTAGAACTGAAAACAGGTCAAGTTTCAATGTGTTCTGTAGATTCAATCCTCACTGCTAATATCAGTCCATGAATACTTTTCTTCTCTAATGGTGGAAAACATTCACAAATACTAATATCCATCCCTACTAATGACGTATTTACCTCTTCATCATTGTTTTGTTTTTGTTTTTTTTCCCTACAGCTTCATCATGTTCCTCAAAGTGTGTTCTAGTTGTGTCCACGGTCTTTGTGTGTTCAGTGTTCTCACTTTCAAACACTGTAGAAGGAATTTACAGGACGTTTCTAATCGGAGCATGGTCGCCTCGACGTTTCCGTGGCGACCTGGAGAAGTTCAGAGGTCATTCTATTTATTGTCATATTTATTGAGATGATTATTATCTGTGATTATTTATACCATTGCCAAAAACAACCCTGGAAAAACACACGGTCGTTGTGACGTCCCTGCAGGGCAAAAAAAAAAAAGAAACGACTGAGATCAAATCCTTCCACGTTCAAAAACGACAAAAAAAATGTAGCATTTTTTTTATTATTATTTTTATTTTATTTTCTCTTCCTGCTTGTCAGACTAGGCTCAGAACGACAATCCAGCGTTGCACATAAAGTGTGATCCGTGTGTCTTTTTTTTTTTTTAACATCAGCAAGGTTCAGTTGATTGACAGAGCGGAGGTTTCAATGATGCCTTAAGCAGAATGTATCTCGACGAATTAAATTTTTGATTAACTTCGGACGTTCAACCCGTTTTTGGCTAACCGACTGAACGCGTAACCCGTCGTCCGAGTCCACGAGACGGGGGCAGGTTACACGGCGTTTCCTGGTGACGCAAGATGAAGGAAATCTTTTCTGGATATAAAAAGAAGCTCAGATTTTGTGTTTTAAAAACTCACCCTACGTGGATACATGCATGTGCATCCACAAGCCTTAGAAATGTATTTAAAATATGCAGATGGATTTAGAAATCAAAGTGAATATAATGAGTTATGGAACTGCTCATCAACCAGAAACATGTTGATTGTTTTTGTTTGTCTTTTCTTGTTTATGCCCTTTTTTTTCCCCCTGCATACTGTTATGTAAAAAGCACAGATTTAGAGTTATGTATTGTTTTCTGATGAGTGATGCTACAGTGCTGGCACTGCCATCTATTGACAAAACCATGAAACTGCAGCCTGCATCCGTTTCTAGTTACTCTACACGCCCGTCCTGGTTTATTTTTCCGTGTCTGTTGCATCCATTTTTCAACTGAATTCTCCTGTTGGCCTGATGCAGCAGAGTAGGGAAAATGATTCAATTCTTTTGTTTACTCCATACCACATCGTGTGTGTGTCTGTAGATTTTAATATCTCAGTTTTTATATGCTTTTAGTGCAAGTCTAAGCTGTTCAGTTAATTTCCATTAAGTTCTGTAATTGCCAGATTACCGTTAAGCCATCCCCCCCCACCCACCAAGTTACTGTTTGGTTGTCATGGATCTTTAAATACAAAGTGATGTAAATACAACAAAGCTGTTTTTACATTAAGTTCAAATAAATGTTTCGTACAGTTGTAAATGTAAAATGAGTGTTTTAATTGCTGCTTCTCTGGAAAAAGTATCACCGGTTGCTTGTTTTTTTTTGTTTGTTTGTTTTTGTTTTTTTCAGGATTCACAGATGTTAATGCTTTCACAGCTCTACCAATTATCTTGTCTCTTAGTGGCATTCTTGGTGTGTTCTGTTAAATAGAAGGTTGCAGATGCTCCTAATTACCGCATGGTCGGGTAAGAGTTTAAATCAGCCTTCACTATTTGGTAATTACAGAAATATCTCAGACTGGTTCTTAATTAAAAGAAACGTGTAAAATCACACCACTTTATAGACTTCTCGGAAGTCCTCTTATGCTTTACTGCAATTAAAGCGTCTCGTGTTTTGGACATTTTTTCACATCTACAGATGGCCCATCAGTCAGATCGGATGCAGGATGTCTGTAAACAAACATCAGGTTTAAGTCGGTAAACCTCATGATATTCGAGTCTGTTCCTGCCTTTTTATAGTTCTTTCTCTGAACAACATGCATTTAGTTTCATCCATCTTGGAGCTATTTATAGCTTCATTCAACAATCCCTTTATACGTGAGAATTTTAGAGGCTAGTCTGAGCTGTTTTCTCTTGCTTTCTTAATTACCTCCAGACTTGCTTAATCCTTGCAAGTTAAATGGGTGTATTAGAAGTAAAATGGATGAAAACAGTGATGAGAGAAAATCCATTTGTCCATTTATTTTTCTCTAAATTCGTTTTTATTTGTAATATCATTTGTGTGGTCAAAATTGCTGAATTTACGCATTGCCTATTGAAATACAGAAAGAAGACCGGGGCGAGGCAGTGCAGTGCTGTGCCTCGCCTCTGGTGGCGCTGTGTCACACAAAGTGAATGAAGGCAGGCAGTTGGCGCATGCTCATTGCTGTTCTCTTAATATCGCCAATATACTTGTTTAGTTACACATATTCTACTGACGTTCAACAATCCATCTAATGTATTTAATGAATGTGTGTGGCATACTTGGTCTTCACGATCGGCCATTAATATGCAGTGAAAATGCGCAGTACAGTACCTAACTGATAGGGGGCGGTGCTGAGTAAATGAAAGGAAAATGAAACGGAAACGAGGACTTATTATTTTTACATCAGAGTGACAGACATTTGTGGGGAAAGGATAGGTGCCTGGACTTCATGTTAAAATAAAGGTAAGCTCATACATGAGCTGTATTGGTTTTTTTGGTGGGGGGGCTTGTTTAGGTGACCTAAAGAAGAATATATACAAAAGTGTAATCTTCCCTCCGCTTTACAATTGTGTTCTATTTTGTTTTGGTCTATCGGAAAGAAGTGCTAAAGTTTGTGGTTATAATTGAGGGTGCAGCGATTACAGTTCTTTGGCCGATCACCAATCTTTAAATAGTTCTTTGTTGTTTTTGTTCTGAAACATTGCTAAATATATCATGCTATGTAAACATCTACACAAGTTTATTTATGTTTATTTTAAATTTACACTTCATCACCAAAGATATGTCAACAATCATTTACAAGAGAAGATTCTCCCCCCTTTGTGCCCCCTTTATATAGATTTATTTTTTAGTCAAACAATTTCTGAGCCTGACCTCCTACCGTCAAGGATCACCTTACAGAAACAGGGAATGTGCAAATTTTTCAGTACTTCCTTAAACTAATCAGAACAAAGGAATCCAGGCTTTTTATACCCCATTCATAGTTTCTGTAAAGGAAAAGCAGGTGACATCGACTCGTTTTATGGGATTCTTTTCAACTTTGAAGCCAAATTTCATTTTCCCGGAGCTGCATCTGTGCGTGTCTCACAGATAAAAGCCTCTAACAGGACCTTGTAATTGGACACAAGGTCAAACTAACCCACCAGCCACCGTGCGGTTAAGAACAGACCACTCCTGCACTCACTTAATAAAAAAAAAAAAAAAAAAAAAAAAAAAAAAGGGGGTGGGGTGGGGGGGACAAAAAGGTACTGGCATCTTTCTGAGCTAATTGAAAACATTTTGAGTTTTCAGAAAAAATTGCCAGAATGCTAATTGGAAATTCTAGGCCACACTCGGATCGTGTACGTCAGGGCCACAGTACTGCTGCTTTGCCAGAGTTGTACAAAAAAAACAACTTTATCTTCTTTTTAATGGGACTTTATGCAATCAAACCTCAACAGGATATAAATAGGAAGTGGAAGAAAAAGGATATGTGTCTGTATTCAGACCCTTTTACTGTAATATTTATATAATAGAATGGCCTACTCAAAGTCCAGACTGAAATGTTATTTGTAATCAGTGTTAGGACTTGAAGATCACTCTTTAAATTTGCTCTCCAGCTAGCTTTAATGCATTTGAGCTACTTTGCAAAAGAGAATAAGCAGAAATGCTGTCCTCTAAATGTGTATGACTTAAACTCATACACTCCACTTCCTGTTTATCACAAAAAATACACATATTTTTAGAGACATTAATGTTACAAAATGTAATAAAAAAAAAATGTTGCAGGGTTGTAAATTTTCCCAAAGCTCTGCACGACTGTGGCTCTAACGGGGTAAAACCAAACAATAAATCCAATGTTTATGTTTAGAAAATATTTTCATTCAAATCAAACAAAACGGGCAACTTCTGCAGATGAAACATCATAAAACGACAATGCGGCCGTTTGCATGTCGCTTTAGAAAGAAAACATTTGATGAAGCACTTAAAACATAGGCGATACACAAAGAAAAAAGAAACAACTATTCTGTTCTGAATTGTTTCTTTGTTTTTTGTTTAAATTTGAATATTGTTTTCTGCTTAATCGGAATTTGTGGAACAATTGTGCTTCGCTCCACGGCCGCTGCGCTGAGGAAAGAACCGAGCAGTCCTTTTTTTTTTCTCTCTCTTTTTTTCTTCTCATTGTTTTCATTCCTCTTGTTGGGCTGGAAGATTAATTTTTAATGCATTTTCCAACAGAAACGACTGCAGACAAAATATACAATCTTCTGAGAGAAAACACAGCCCAGTTTCCATTTTGTCTCCGTTTTCCCAGGACGCTGTTTGTGTTTGGAGCTACAGGGGAGGAGATAATAACATACACACTGAATTTTGAATTTTTAAAAAAAACTAGGCTTTTTTTCCAGGACATAACATTATTAGGCTATTATGGAACCCAGAATCTTCATATTGGTTTAAGATAAACTTTGATGTCTCTCTTTCTCTTTCCCTCTGTTTCCTTGGATAGAAACTGAAAATCCACATAAAATCCCAATGAAATAATAATCTGAAACTTTAAGTTGAAATGGGATGGAATGTGAGAAAAGTTCAAAGCTTGTGAATAGTTTAATAATGTAGTTTAATTTTTGGTCAACACAAGACCTGTCATGTGCTAATCTTAAATAATGACATCTAAGTGAAAACGCACATAATTTTTTTTTCTTTAATGCGGACAAGCTGCTATCTCTTATTTAGTGTCACGATCACCATCCTCCATCTGTTCTAGACACGTATCGGAGATAAACATGTTTAAATATGTCTGCCGCCTCAGTTTTGTTTTGTCTCTCCTTGTTTGCTCAGTTTAATGAAGAGGAAATGCCATTTCAACAGACTTGACTTTTGCATTTCATTAACTGGCCTGTAGGGGGTGCTGTTGTAGGAAACGCATTCAGAAGGAAAACAGTAGTTGAGTATTTCCTTTCTTAACCTCAAGTCTTAAGGTTTGTGCAACAATCATGTAAAGTGATCGACTTGGTTCCTCTTAATAAGCCTCTGGATGTAGCTCTGGAGATTCTCCCGATGTCGTTCTATTTCCCCTCTGCTTCTAAAGCTCCGTCTTCTTCGTCTTTGCCTTCTGTGGTAGACCTGCACATTATTCTGAACCCTTTTCAGCACTCCGTCAAAATAATAGAAGTGATCCTCTTCGTCGCCGATGAGAGGGTTTTGGCCAATTCCCCCTGATGGGTCTTTCTGCAGCTTTGTAACATCTGCAGTTTCCCATGCAGAGAGCGGATTGGACCGGGGTCCGCCCCGTCTCTCCAGGCAGTGTGCCCACCCGGCGTCGGTGCGGTCGATCAGACCTCTGCAGAGCGGGGCGGGGCCGTCAGGTGCCTGCGAAGAAGGTAAATGATGAGAATAATCCCTGCTGCTGCTGTTAATAAACATCAGATCATCGTCAGATCTGGTTTGCTTGTGTTTTCTCTTCTGTCCACCAGAGGGCAGAATGTTGTTATAACGTTCAGACTGTGGATGCTCCCTTGACACAAACAGGACCCTCACAAAGACTACTATATCGTTTTCTCTCTAGTTAGGCAGCTGTCTTGGTGTTTATCTCTTCACTTCTGGCTTTCAGCACTGTTACACTGAGGTGTGCTTTGTTTCATTTTCCGTTTCCCTCTGATGCAAAAGTGAAAACACGACAGATGTAATGTGAAGTTTGATAGGCAGGTACAGTTTGGTCTTACTTGGGCAGAATCTAATTTTGTCCTCCAAAAAAACTGAACTGAACTGAACCCTGCAACTGGAAGATGACTACCAGGAACGTCTTAGCCAAAGGGTCAGTAGGGTGTTGTAACTTTCTTCTTGACTTTGAATACATGTTCATTTCTAGCGTTCACCCGCATTTAAAAAAAGTTATTCTCCCCCAATGAGTGGAAATGTTTAGACGTCAATATATTAGTGTTTCTTTTGAAATAACAGAGTATTTACTGTATGTTTCATTTACCTTCATATCTTTTTCTCCATCCTCCTTTCGGATGTCTTCTAAACTTTTTGAAAAGGTCTGTGATTCTCCTCCATGATGGACCAAACCTGGTTTTCTGTCCTCTCCAGCCCAGTTCTCAGAACCTTTCTCATCGTCCTCTGCATCCTCTCCATGTTTCGTTGCAACTACCTGTCCATTGTCTCTCATTCGGAGACCAGAGAACTGGACATTAGACGTAGCTCGTGCATTGGCCGTTGTATGTTTCTTGAATCTTGGCTCAGAGTCCGTTTCAGGTTCTGTGTCGGGTAGCGTAGTCCATCTCTGGTCTCCGCTGGGCTGGATGTCAGTTGTGCTGCTTTGACTGAAGACTTCAGTTGTGTCTTGGATCTCCATTTGCGTCGTGGTTGCTTCGGTCAGAGGCCTCGCTGTTGTAGTTTCGGTCTGGATCTCTTTGACTGAAGGCGGCGTTGGTGTCACTGATTCCTCTGCTGTTGTTTTTGGCTCTTCGGTGGTTCTAACAGCAACAGTAACTTCTGATACTTTTTTAGCTAATCTGATATCAGTCATCTCCAGTGTGTCTATTAGGTACAATTTAAACAAGCTACCTATCCCTACGAGGCATTTACATTTGGATTTGTCTGTTTTAGATGGCACAGTTTCTGCATAATTTGCTTGATGTGTCTGCTGGTTTTGTAACCTGCTTGCTAAAATCTGTTGGTTTCCATTTTTTTCTCTGTTTGCGCTTGGATTTTCCGCTTCCTTCCCTCCCTGCGGGGAGTGCGGCTCGGCTTCTTTTGTGTTTAACTTTTTCCTGAAATATTCAATATCATTATCCGCGGCTGGCCATATTGCATACTGTGACCTATATATGGATCCTTTGTTCTTTTTGGGGGCCAGCAGGGGTTGTCCCTGAAAGTAAACTCTATCTGCATCCCTACGAGATGCGGCTTTTGAAGAAAGTTGTTCCCAAAGACTTTTTTGCAAAGCAGAATCCTCTTTGAAAGTTAAAAGATTATCTTTGTGTGTCTGGATCTTTAACTGTAGAGGCTCCTTTAAGTTCATTCCTTTCCACATTCTGTCTTTTTGTCTGTTTTTTGGCTCCGCAACATCTTTTCCCCATGTTTTCTTAATCCTCATTGCTGATTTCACTTCTCTGTCATCAGAGCTGCAGACGACAATCAGCGCCGTTGCTGCGTGGCATCCTATTTTCCGCAACTCAGCATCAGGAATAAGTTGTCGACACAGCTCAGATTTCTCCAGTAAGAAATATGGAAAGTTGCGGCTGGACGGCCGACGCAACCAGGGCGACAGGAAATCGAGGCTGTTCATAATTACATCTATGGGAATCTTAATAGGTTCATTTATAACATGCAGGGCAGGTAGAAGGTTGGATTTTTCCAGAAATGCTGGAAAATGTTTTCCTGCTCCATTTACAGAAGCCACAGCCTGAAATGACAGAAGGAGAAATTAGTTGCAAAATCGCTAAAAACCACATCGACCCCATTTTAGAGTCACATGGGGGCTTCTTGTGCAGTCAACCCTATTCCATGCTAATATATATATATATATATATATATATATATATATATATATATATAGTTGACATTTTCTAACAGTCATGGCTCCCAAAGGAAAAATCCATCTTGACTTTGGCAGTCGCCTGAATTTTCCTCCACAGGGTATAACCCACTACTCTGGGATGTGTGTGAAATGTGGAATATTTCTTATTTTTAACCAAATTGCATTAAGGTTCTGCTTCATTAAAGTTCTGACTTATGCAGAACTCTCAATGCAAAACGAAATGCAGTAAAAAAAAAAAAATAATAATTCTGACCCCCTGAGTTTGTTTTGTTGCAGACATGTCCAAAGTTTGGTCCTGTTCCACTGTGCATCTTTAAGGCTATGAGTTAGTTTTTAGTTGTTTTTCTCTCTCTCTCTCTCTCTCTCTCTCTCTCTCTCTCTCTCTCTCAAAAAATACTGTCCCTTTTCATACACTTTTGTTTTACTTTTTGTCACAGATTGTAACTAAAAACTCTAATGTTTTTCAGGGGGCTTTTATGAGATTGACCAACATGAAGCAGTACTTCAAAACGAAAACTTACACATGTTTTTTTTATTATCATCATTATTCTTTCCAAATAAAAATCTTAAAAGTGTGGCATGCATTTGCACCGAATCAACCTCAGTCAAAAATTTGTAGTTTTTTTTTAGAAACTACTGCTGACTACATCTACCTACAGACCAGCCTCTTTTTCCCGAGCGAAGGAAAACATCCCCGCAGCATGATGCTGCCACTACCATACCAGCTCTACATTTACACCAGAGTTAAATTACATCTAATTTACCAGTCAGATGAATTCTAACAATAGCATGACATAAACATAACACTTTGCTAAGATGTAACACAAACAGTTACATTATAAAAAAAACCAAAAAAAAAACATCAAATCTCATGAAATTATACATTTTTCATTCAGGGTTTTTTTTTCTCCACTAAACAAATGTACCAGAGTTTTACTGTTCACTACTGGACTGAAAATATGTATTAGAAAAAGAGCAAAAATGATTTTTTTATTATTATTATTATTATTTTTTTTTTTTTTTTTTTGACATTTGGTAAATATCCTTTGAAATTCCACTCAGTTTCATAGGTTTCTGCAGATATCAGCTTGGAATTATAGAAAAATGCCTCAAAATGAGTTATTATCTCCTTCCCAATTATAGATAGTGGAATTTGTTGAATGCTTGGCTGCTTTGCAGTAGTGTGGCCATCTCATCTGAACCAGCAGACCCAAGCCATCAATATCCAACAGTTTAATAATCAGATGGGAGATTGCATTAGATTATCATTAATATAGTATGGAGGGGGAAAAAAAAAAAGCATACCAGCGCTGGAAAACGAATCCCCTGAATTATTCCTGCCGGTTCCCGGTTAGAATAATGGAGTCTGTGTGTCCAGTAAAAAGATAGGCTCCTTTGCATCTGTTGCTCAGCCACATACACACAGTACTTGTGGAGGCACGGACAGCTGTGCGCAGTGTGAAGTTTTTCAGAGGGTGCCCTGGGTCTGCCGAGGAGCAGCTTTCTGCACAAAGGCCAGTAAAAGTAGTCCGTAATCCAGTCCCCGTCTCCAAGGAGACTCAGGTCAGAGAGGAGCAGAGAGACCAGCAGCAGCCACAGCCTCATTGTCCCGGGAAGGAGTACAGGCGTTCCGCACGGGTTCTATCTGTTCCACGACGTCCTGCTTTGCCTGTATGCAAACCCTGCTGCACTCAAAAGTGTTAAACCTTAGAGATAAAAACTTATTGTTGTGCACTTTGTCCATATCAGGGCACAAAAGTTTCATTATGAGGAAAACGCATAGTATCATCACTCAAAAGGTTTCTCACCCATTGAACCACAAGAGCTACGTTAGTCAGCTGCGAATTGGAATTGCGAAATTGGAATTTACTTAATGAGAACACGGCAATTTAAAAAAAAGAAAAAGTTTTTTTTTGCTGAAAGGTTTTTGCCCAAGTATGCCGTGGTTTTGCTGCTCTATCGAAATTGGCATATGTAGCAAAACTGTGATATAGACTTTTTTTTTTTAGCGTCACAAGCCTCACGTGATCATCAACTGGACGTTACTGATGGCGGAAACGACAAGGAAGACAAGAGGAAGTGATAGGAGGATTATGTTTTATATATAATTTGAGCAAACTCTCTTCATGTGTGACCTCTTTCGCATTTTAGATTTTGCGTTTCTAACCCTAGTGTTTAATGGAAATACTGGGATTGCGGAATATTGTCTTTTTCAATATTAGCACATTTGTATGGTGAGGGCCACTGACCTGATGGATCACTGAAAAGGAATAGTTTCACTGGCAGATTAATTTGCCTCTGTTGGAGTAAATTCTCCTATGTATGATTTATTACGACAGCTCTTATAGAAGGTTGTACTTCTTGAGTACAAGAAGATGCTGTTCTTCTTCCAAACAGCATCTGTTTCTGAGGACCTCTGAGGCCCACTTGCAAACAAATAATTCCTAAAAAAAAAAATAAACCTGCATTCAACAATCTTTTTACTCTTATGTGTTTAGGCTTAAGGAAAACACCTTCTGTGACATTGTTAATTTCTTTGTTGGATTGATATTAAATCATGAAACCAGGCTTTTTAAATGCAAAACAAAACACTATAATTGTCATAACACAACTTCAATCAATCTCTGCTTTGGGCCCTCGGTGGTGTTTTTCCGACTCTGAGGTGTAGTCTGGGATTAAGCGGAGAAATGGGACTGGCCTTGGAGGGTTTATGAATTATAAAGAAAGAGAATACAAGGTTAGAGGGAGATAAAACTAGCAAATACAATTATTTAGGTGTTCATGTATGAAATGTCACATTTTATACACGACAACACTCCTAATTAGATGTTAAAAATAGTTTGAAACTGAAAGACTTTTGAAATCTGGAGACTTGAGCTTTTTCAACGAGAAAAAATATTGGGGGGTTTCTGACTGTTAGGAAAAATTCAAGAAAAACTTGTGTTTGTACTTTGTAAAGTACATTCTCTGTATATGAAGAGACTTTTGAATATCTTTTGAATATTTAATAGGAGTAAAAAGACTGCTTTGGGGTTTTAGTGATTCTCAAACAGTGGGACACATGCCCTGAACGTTTCCACGTTTTGTCACATTAAAATCTCAATGTTCAGTTTACTGCGTTTGGGATTTAATATGATAGAGCAACACAAAACAATGCCAAACTGTAAAGAGAAAAGAAACTAAGTTATTGCTTTACATGTCTTTCTTTTTACCAAAATAAAAAAAAACCCTGCAAAAATTACAGTGTTCATTTATATTTAGCCCCTGTATGAAAACATTTTGTGGAAGCTCTTTTCAAGTGAAACTATAGATACAGACTGAATTTTTTTCCAGATTTTTTTTTTTTTAGTAAACAGTCACTCTTGCTACAGATTCTAAATTTTATCCAGGTCTGGACTTTGACTGGGCCATGTTTATCTCATAGTTTTGTTGTCCTGTCCATCTTGCTAGAGGAAACCTATATGTTTTTCTTCACCTATAGTATTATGCATGTAGGATTGAACATGTTGGTCACATTCGACCAGCGCACGTCTGTGATTTCCTGTACATGGCTGGTGGCAAAATGTAACCAGCATTCTTTATGAATTTCTTTCAACAGCGGCTTTCTGCTTGTCACTCTTCCGTAAAGGCTTGATTTGTGGAGTGAGCAGCTCATGCTTAAGAGGGCCGTCAGATCTAAGTGTGTGAGAAAACTGGAAAATGTTCAAGAGGCCCTGCGTTTAATTAAATGCATTTATTTCAACTCCACAGAACCGACAGTCATGTTATCCAAAGTGACTCACTTTGAATATATTTCATGTCTTCATCGTATGAACACATGCAGGGATGAACAGAAATCAGCTTACAGGCCATGCTGCTGCTGCTGCTGCTGCTGCTGCTGCTGCTGCTGCTGCTGCTGCTGCTGCTGCTGCTGCTGCTGCTGCTGCTGCTGCTGCTCTGAGGTCTTATTTTTCACCCTCTTCCTCTTCTTGCCCTAAAAGTAAAATATATCAGACTTCAGTTGGAAGGATCTAATTCTGGTCTCAGTGTTTTATCAGCATTAAGCTGGTGATGCGACCATGTTTGAACAGATTCCACATACATAGTTATCACCCGTGGACCAACCAGGGTGTTGCTGCTGGTGGAGCCTTTGTTCCAGTCTGGCCTTCTCAGAATATCTGGCCTTCACCTCGACTGGCAAAGATTTCCACTGTGGAAACAAGACGGAACCATGTCAGTACTGACACTGACCAGTCCAGCTCATGCAACACACACAACCAGGAATATTAAACTATTTGCTTCTTGAGTTTTTCCCATTTTTTTATGGGAAACTAAATCAGTCTGAAACTGATTTAGTTTCAGACTCTGCTCTGCTCATGAGGGATGAAGTTGAACTTCCTCACTTTCATCAATAGATGGTATTTTTATTAGTAGTAGTAGTAGTATTAATACTTGTGGCAGTTTTACTTTCCTGTTTTTGATTTTTTAAGTTGTAACAAAGGTGAACTTGCAGTGGAAAAAGAAAATGGGAGATCCGATAAAAAAGAAATTACAGTTAATTTGTTGCAATTACGTTTATTAAATTGTCATATTAAATAAATGTAAATAAATTAAGTTAAATTTGTAACTTAAAAGTAACTTTGTTTTTGTTTTGTTTTTTAAGTCGGAACTCCGTTCTCTTTTTTTTCAGTGTAGACTGGACAAAACCACATCAACATGATCTTAAATTATCTAACTGGACGCAGATTTCCTGAAAGTTCTGACTCACCATTTCTCCCACAACTCTATTCACCATGACACTTCTGCTGATGTTGAGCTCAGACACCACCTTTGGTCTAATCTCCTTCAGGAAAAGCATGAAGGCGTTTGGTGGCTTTTTAACGTACGGTCGGCCATCATCCCGCTGGTCTCTAACTCGTCTGTTGTGTCTGTTGTTGGCAGACAACAGACTGCTGTGTGTGAACATACAGCAGAGGGGGAAAAAAACAAGGAAGATCACAGAAATCTGATCAGCTGAGACACAAGAGATAAAAAAACAATTAGAAGGAATCCATTTTTAAAAAAGGTACTTTGAGGTGTTGACATTCAGAGGAGCATGAACAGCGTTGTACAGCGTTTCTTCATTCCTGCACAGAATCACAGTAACATGACTGTGTGAACATACAAACAAAAGCTCCACAGGTTTAGAGTTTTGTTGGTCTTATGTGTGTTACTTACAGAACTCCAATTGGTAGACAACAGATGCCTCCATCTGGAGGTCGACAACGTATGGATAAACTGTGCAGATTCTGAAGGTAAAAACACAAAATAAGTGTGTTACAACCAGCTGCTGGGATTGAAATCCACCCACCAGGTTACTGGACCCCACAAACCCGATAACATGCAGCAAAATCAGAAATGAAGGACTTTGCCGTTTGCGAGTCTCAAACCAACAGTTAGCTAACGCTAACCATTCAGTCTAACCATTAAGACAACTGTCTTAATTGTGAGCTGTCCGAATGGTTAGCTAACAATTAACATCTAACAATTAAGAGAGTTGGCTCAATTTTTAGATGTCTGAATGATTAGCTAATCATTCAGACTAACCATTGAAAAAGTTGTCTTAATTATTAGCTAACAATTATGACTAAGACAGTTATCTTAATGGTTAGTTAACAATTCAGACTAACCTTTAAGACAGTGATCTTAATGGTTAGGACAGTTGTTTTAATGGTATTAGCTTCAGCTAATATTATAATGCGGTTTTAGCATTTTCTTCAGCTAACTTTTTATGTTAGCAGCTTAGCGTTAGTTACCGTGAGGTTTTTTTTATGTTTTTAGCGGTTTAGCTTTGCTGTAGCTAAGATTGTTGTTTAGCGAGTTAGTGGTTAATTAACCTAAACTTTCTGATTAGCTGTGCCCGCCACTCACAATAACTAGTGCTGTAATAGGTTCTTGTATCCAGATGTTAAAGATTTTACAGAATTATACAATTATCTGTTGCACTATGAAATAATACTTAATTGATTAGCATATTTATTGAGGGAAGGCATAGTCTCTGTCACTGACTCACCAGTTCCTGACTCTCAGTGCCTCCTGCTGGCAGGGCAGGAGGCTGGATAATCATCTGTTGTATGGCAGGCAGTACAAGAGGAGAAGGAGGAGCATGATGGGAAAATGTTGGAGGTGGAGGCCTGAACATGAGATCATGCTGTGCTCCCAGACTGAATGGAGCATTGGTGTTACTGGTGACCCCTAGTGGAGCACGGATGAAAGGTGGATGAACATGAAGAGGAGCATGATGGGTAAATGTTGGAGGTGGAAGCCTGAACATGTGCTCTTGAACTCCACCCTGAGTCAGTAGAGTGTTAGTGTGGGACTGTGGTGGAGCAAGCCAGACAGGAGAAGTATAAGGTGTCAGTAATGGAGGAGGAGGAAGAGGGAGGAGCTGCTTCTTCCTAAGAAGGTCTTCCATATTGTCCCCGTTATTCCAGTTTTTGTTTTCAAACTCCTCTTGCAAAGTAGAGCTAATTTCTTCGTTGAACTTCTTACTAGAGACAGAGTTCTCTGAATCTCTGTCACTCCTTAAACTCTCCCTAAGAAGGCCATCTACAAACTCCCAGGTTTTGAGCACTTTCTTCGTTGCTGGGGTTAGGGTGATGCTGTCATAGACAGAGTTCTCTGGATCCTCCTTATTCCCTGAACTCATCCAGATCTCAGAATCATGAGATTCCGTGACTTGTGGAGGAAGAGGAAGCGTCGGTAACAAACAAGGAGAGGGGCTGAGCTCCTCCTCAACAAACTTTTCTATATAGTTCCAGTCGTTGTCAAACTTCACCTTCTTCTCTGGCAGGGCGTTGTTAAATTCCTCGGTGAGCTCCTGGGAGGAGACGGAGCTCCTCGAATCTCTGGGCTTCACTGAACTCGGCCTGACATATGAAGATATAAAGCTGCCATTTAATACCATACAATTTAGTCACTGCAGGCATCATATATCATGTTTAAATTATTCACCAAAAACTGTTTTTAATTTTTTTTTTTTCTTTTTAAGGTATAGAACCACCTTTTGAAATAAAATATATGGTAAGCTGTTAAAGTAAAAAAATATGTTAAATTTTTCAGTTTGGTGTTCGCGCCTTCCCTGGTTCTAAAGCTGCCCTGGGGAACAAATAAAATTAATTATTATCATTAGTATTATTATTATTATTATTATTTATGCTCATCCTCTGAAATACTTACCCAATTTCTACCTATCTACGTCTAGACACCATAAAATGCTTCAAACTCTGGTGAGGTTTCCCCTTTGAGAAACGTCCAACTACAAAGTAGTACTTTATTTTTGAAACATATTTATGTTTTGGAATGACCTAGTCAAAGTCCAGATCTAAGTTAATGTCACATGAAGTCTCTTGAAACTGCTCAGAGACTTGTGGCTGTCATGTGGAAAACGTTTGAGGAGAACAAATCATTTTGCAAGACACCATAAAATGTGAAACCACTGTTGGTGATGAAACTTGTGATGCATTATTAAAAACACATCTATAAACATGTCTTCTGTTTTATCATATCTTATAGTGAAGCGTTTGTGATGTCTGAAACATTTAGCCACAGTTAGCTACTGATTTTATTAAACTTGCCTGATAATGTTAATATTAAGGAGTTTGTTTTCTGCATAATTAGAGACTATTGTTGAAAAAACTAAACTCTACAATTTCCCGTTGTTATATTGAATTCAGTTAAGTTATTTAGATGTTACAGAATTACAAAACAACAACAAAGAATCTCTCTCCCTGTCCCTGTGAATACTGACCTGAAGTGTTCGGACATGGTCAACTCCTCTATTCTAACCTCCTCCTTAAAATATTCTTCAGTTTTGTCTCTCTGCTGATTTCTTCGAGCTGTGAGGCTAAAAAGCTGTTTGCTCGATGAAGGCTTGTAGAGAAATGGTGAAAGTGAAACATGTCACTCGGATCTTCTGCCACTCTGTTTCCAAACCCTTCCAGAAACCAACATAATTTGTTTTGATTTGAAGCTTTAACAGGACATACTTAAGAAAAGAAGCAAACCGTGACATTAGAAGCTTAGAATCAATGGCAGGGCCTCTGGTTGTTGTTTTCTCCGACTTACTATTTTTTCAGTCTTGTGCCTCTAACTGAGATGGTTGCACAGATGTGCAGCGGCTTCTCCAGGTTAAGCCCTATTTTAACATCTGTGAGGCTGCTTTTGGAAAGAGTTCAGCAACAACCTTACGGCTGAAGTACAGCTCGGCCGAACTGAGGGCCATGATTGGAGACAGAACGGCTGTTTTATCACCAAGGCTGAAATCCGCACTTGGGAGACAGCGGCTCAGATCAGCGGACTGGCGCAGCAGAGTGCAAGGAGCAACGGTCAAAAGGAAACAAGACCGGCGCGTTGGCCCAGCTGGCCAATGTCCAGATCTAAGGCACAGAGCTAAGGCTGTGCCGTTCTTTGCCTACCGGAAACCTGGCTTAACAGCACCATGCCAGACGCAGCCTTCCAGATCAACGGTCTTCAGTTATTCCGAGCGGACCGCGACCAACGGTCAGGGAAAACACGGGGAGGAGAACTCTGTAGGTACGTGAATGAAGGTTGGTGTACGAACTGTGGACTGGTTAAAAGCTGCTGCTCAGAGGCGATATAACTTATGACAGTGAAATGTCGGCCGTACTGCCTCAGGAGTTTACTGCGGTGTTCGTCACCAGTGCACACAGGCTGTTCCAGCCGCTGCCCTCAGGCAGGAGGCCGAGGAGCGTCCAGAGCAAAAACCACCAGGCTGAGGAACAGGAACAGCTTCTTCCTTTCAGCCGTCAGACTGCTGAACTCGAGCTGCACCAAATGCAGCTTCTCCTCATAACTTATTTACACATCACTTAAATTACTTTATTATTCATTTGGTTATTTATTTTATTTAATTATTTATCTATATATATATTTTTTTAGTGTAGTGGATTTCTTTATGTGGGATCTGAGTACAAATTTCGCACCACAAACTCTCAAGATGGTATGACAATAAAAAAATAAAAAAATCCTTGAATCCTCGAGATGTATTTTTGGCACTATAGAGTGTGTTCTTCCAAGATGTCAAATAAATGTTTTTTTTTCTCCAAAAATACTCACCGCTGTTAAAACTGGGCTATCTATGCAAATAAAAAGTTGAGACCACAAGATGGTCTTACTACTGTACATTTTGACTAAATCATATCATCCTTTCATTCACTTTCGATAAAAAAAGCCTCATTTTAAAACCCGTCTTAGATGTGAAACGTTGAGCTTTTAGCCTCCTAAAACAGATGCATTATGTGACCCAGTGATGCTGTTTGCATATTATCAGACTGTGCCCGTATCGCTCCAATGGCTCTGGTGAGGAAGACAAATGCTGCACATTAGTCTTTGCTACCTTCACTGAAACAGCAGGTAAGAGTTCTTAGCTTCAAATATTCGCTTTGTGAACAAGGAGGTTTGTTTCACAGCTTTAACAAAACGTGCAAATATACAACTGTCATTAACCTCTGTTCAGCTTAAGTACTGACAGATGACGACAAATGGTCTGTTAACATTAAGTACTGCTCTGCTCACGGTCAGGAAAACACAATCGCGTTTTAAAACTAGACAACTGTTCTTTGCAAAAAAAAAAAAAAAAAAAAAAAA